TTTGAATTAATTAATTTTAAGAAGTGGTTTTTCGAACGGTAGTGAACTACAACAACAAAAATTCATATTTATATTATTTTAATTAATTGAATTTTTGGCTGACCATAATTAATTTTAATATTAACTCATAATAAGGTTAGTAGTGAACTCCAATATCATATTAATATTATATTTTTTATTTTATATATTATTATATTTATATTATTTTGATAAATGGAATTCTTGGCTGACCATACAGCAGTTTTGAATATTGCCAAATACACATCATTAGTGGTCTTGGAAATAATTCTTGTATTTTAGTATTCGTAACTAACACTACTTTACAAATAATTAAAAGTTTTATTTTCTAAAGACGAGCTCAATATTTCCTATAGAAAAATTTTCCGTAGAATTGGAAAATCAGAACGGTTTTTTTTCCTGTGTATCGTATTCGAGTTGTTTACGAAAAACTGTTATTTTGACTTTTCTCAAAACCTCACCCTGCATAGGTCCCCATAACTTTTTTTTTGTAAAGCTATCACATATAGTGTTGTATATTAAATTAAAGGTGAAACTTGTTCGATTATTTTAAGCTACATAATGTTAATATAACTTAATTGGTTTAGCTGCTATAGCTAAAAATGTACAGATGAAAAATGTTTTTTTGCGCTTTTTAACTTTTTCGATTTTCAATGTGAAGGGATTCCAACAAAAATATTTAAAAATGACCTATTAGTCATCTTCACGAATTTTATTAAAAAATTACTTATTTAATATATTTAAATTTACTTATTAACAGTTGCAACAGTTGTAAATACTAAACTAACTCCTCTGTCATCTGACTGGAGTTTTCCAGTTTCTTCCAAAAATCATTCACAATAGATCGGTCTTAAGATTTGGCATCAATGTAGTGTGAGCGGCTTATTCGTTAAGCATTTTGACTTTCAGGAAAAGTGGGATTATTTTTGCGAACTATGTTTTTGCTTTGCATGTTAATTTTTAAGCGACACGTGTTCTATTGGATCATTCATGTCAAAAGAATATACCAATTAACATACCTAACTTAACCAATTGTAAATGACACAGTCGTGTTAAAAGAAAAAATTGTATAGTTTGTGACATTTATAAACAAATTTTAAATCATAAACTAATGAAAGACACCTAATTAAAATGGAATAAATTGACCACAAACAAAATATGTACTAATATACCCAGTGTGATATACAGGATGTTGGCAAACAGTGTACCACAGAAGCGAAGTACCATAATTCTTTGCTTCAAAAAGCCAAAAAAAAATAATAATTTTACAGACTTTAAACTGTTTTAAAGGAATCTACTAAAAAATAGATGAAGATAGAACACTCCCACACATAAGTTTTAAAAGATATGTAAGCTTTACTTCCCATAAGAAATCTTAAAAGATCTGCACAATTACAACATTGCTATAATTACAGCTTCTATTAAAATTCAATATTTACAACTTTAACCCCAACTTTTAGTATTCTGATCTGATATATCTGGGTCTGATATAACGCAAATTTTGACTATTTAAAGTTCAAAATTTATTTCTCTCTAAATGGAATATATCGTAAAGTTGCTTGATAAGTGAAGAATAAACGAACTGAATAAAATTTTTACTTACCTCTATTATTTTTCGAACTAATCCTTTTTGAGTTATATGAAAGTTATGTGAAAACCCCTCATAACTTAACTTGTCCAAAGTTTACTCTTTCAATTCGCCAATAAATGAGTTAAGGCAGTGTCGTGGTAAATAATATTTTTTTCATTTTAATTTTTTATTGCTGAGAGTTACGCGTCTTTATGACGAAAAGAAACTATTTGAAAGTTAGAAGTATTCGAATAGCAAAGAAAAGACAAGAACAAAAACTTAGTACATTTATTGAAGTACTGAAGATGAGTGGCTGAAAATACTCGAAACAGCGTTGTATGGTCAGCCAAATTTTAATTATTATTATTTTTGTTAGGGGGTGTGCCCCCTTCCGGGCTTAGAGTAAGTCTTTAAGCCCTGTTGCGTCAATAAAAAGTAGTATAGAACCTACTTTCCAGAGTTTTATTGCCTCTTCCGTAAGAATATACGTTCCTTGGAGCCTATTTCGTATGTGCATTAGCGCAGGGCATTCTAACAGCACATATGTGACCGACTCCTCATTCTCTTCACAGAATCTAGAGTTTGCATCCGTAAGTATACCCAGTTTAGTAAGGTGGTGTTTTAGTCACCTTTTCTTTGATTCAGCAGGCGTTCATTTGATATTTGATCTGGTCACCATATTTTCAGAATTCTACATAGGCACTTGACAAACACTTACATCTTTCTTTCTGTATATCTGAAGTGTTTCCATATTTCGTAGGCGTAGTCTAAGACAGATTTCACATTTGTGTTGAAGATTTGTAGTTTGGTCTGCCTCCTGAGATCACTGAATCGCCGAATGTTGTTAAATTTGCCAAACTCGGTTTTCGCTTTGTTGATCCGATCATCAACATCTTCGTCAGCTCCGCTCTTATTTGTTACAATGATATCCAAGGTAGGTAAAGGTGGCTTTCGCTTTGTTGATCTAAGCATCAACATCTTCGTTAGCTCCGCTCATATATGTCACAATACTTTCCAGGTAGGTAAAAAATCAAAACCTCTCTAGTAAGTTGAAATAGTAATTGACTGAGTTCAATTATGATACTCTTAAAACTAATCAGCATAATAGCAGGTTCATATCATATTTCATAATAATATAGTTAATCAGGTCAATATCACATTTAAGAAATATCAAATCAAAATTAATGCTATTCTTCTAAACTATTTGGTGGGATTTTGTGATAAAAAATAATATAAATTAGTTTATAAATTGATGTAATATATAAAATATAATCAAAGTTATGTTATATATAAAAAATTTATATATTCTTGTTACATAACTACGTTGCAACCGATGTCATATTAAATAACATTCCTCACAATCGACAGACTTTTGACAACTTATTTATATATTGATACCTTCTTCAGCATTAATTTTAAGAGCTTGTCTTGTTTAAAAAAAATGAAAAAAGAGTTAGTATATTTGTTTATTTATTCATTTTGTAGTATCAATATTTTTACTAACCGAAGAACTCCTTTTGTAACAGGTTAGCACCTAAATCTCTTTCGTAAGCGAATTAATGACACACATACGGATGGGGCTACACACGGAACACTTGTACGGCAAATATGTACTTATGAAGGTACATGCATCACTGCATATCCATCGCTTCCACATCTCGCTACGTTCTTATAAATAGTTTTACACACTCGCACGCCCTGTTAAGCCGTGCTGTTGTTTTATGGCCTGAGCCGAGAAGAGTCTGTCTGCGAACTCCTTCCCTGATTGTTTTGCCGCGGCAAAGTTCCAACCATGCCGACATCTTGTGCAGCTGAAGTGATCCTAAACATACAAGTTACATACTTGAGTGCTGTCAAATGAGTATGTGAAGTGAACTTATCGTGAATGCGTGTTCTTTCGTGTTTACATTAATACAAGTCAAAGGTTCTTGAAGCTGACACATTGCAATTTATGTATAGTGACAGCTTCATATGTACCCGGTTTCATTCTCGTCATCGTCATCGTCATCGCACCCGTACCCGTACCCGTACGTGTACGTGTACGTGTACGTGTACACTTCGAACTGAACTTGTTTGATAATTTACATGCATTTTCATATTTTAAATTCGAATCGCTTGTGTTGAGTGAGCACTTTTCGACGCATTGTTTTCGAACACAAAATTATCTTCAAACACGTTTTTGAAATAATTTATTCGAAAAATTCTTATGGCAATTTTTTTAGTTATAAACGAGTAAAATATATATAATATATATAAATAAAACAAATTATATAATTTGAAATAAATTATTTAATATTCAATTTTTATTTTTGTATTTTTATAACTATAATTATTTTTATAATTATAATTATTTTAATAATTTTTATTGTGATATTTTATTTAAATTATTAAAATTTTATAATAATAATTTTACCTAATAATGAGACAGAGAAAAGAAGTTCTAGATAGTATATATATCTTCAACGACAAAAGGTTTTCGATTAATTTGATAATCAGCTCGATTTTAAAGAATATAAAAAAATGAGGTATTTATCACAAAAACAAGATAAAAGTGTAGCTTTGGGCTTACCTCAACCTCAATACGTTGTTTTTGAAATTTTTACCTACACTTGTACTTACTCCATTATCTCATTTTATATCACCAATATCGTCGAAAAGATACAATATAATATGCACTAAAAAAAAATTTTCAAAATTATTTTTGGAAAAGATTTAATATATTGTACATAAAAATTCAAAAAAAAAATTTTATGTAAACATTACCTGATAGAGTAAGTCGGGCTTGTCAAATCGATCTTGATAGATTCACAAGCAACTTAATATTATGTTTCCACTGCAACTAAATCAACTTATATTTAAACAACTTAAAATTAAATCGTTCCCACAGACAAAAGCTGATTTACGTATATTCTTAGTATGTCTCGACTCCACGCGAGCATAGCCAGAAAGACTATTCTGTACGTATGTGAAAGAACTTTTATTCGTCAGACAATTCTGTGAAAGATCACATCTCACATCTCAAAAAATTTACTTACTAAGTAAGCAGTAGAAACATGGTATACTTCTTGTTTCAACTGCTTACTTAGTAAACTACTTAAGTAACTTTAAGACTTTGTTGTTTCCATTGACATAAGTTACTTATTGCATGTGAAAGAGTTTTTATGAGCTTAATATGATTTACGATCAACGATCACAAGCAAAAATATTAGAAGCTATCAGTACCTATACGATTAGATAAAGAAATGTAAATGGACCTATGCATTGAACTGGCGTAATGCAGACTGAAAGAAACGCGGAGTTTCGGGGAACAAATAGAAGCTTTTGTTCTCCAAGAAATGAGAAATGGTAGATAAGGAAATATATGTATGTATATTAAAAGTACTAGTAACGTTTGATGAAGCAAAACTCAACATTTTAGCTTAAGAGATATATATAGGTGTTTATTGCCAGTTTTAAGTAAAGAAGGAAAGAACTATTAAATATCGTCTGATTTGTTTCATTCTTCTTTTCCTCTTATATCACCTTTGAAATTGTGGATTCGCTCAGCTAATTTTCATTGTTTTTAAAGTATAGTAACTCAACATATTGTATGAAGTCTCTTCGTCACGCCTATTTAAAAATACTATCTTATTCTATATTTTATCAAATTCAATGACTTACCGATTAAAATTGTAAAAAGTCAGATAGTTTGTGTTTACATTGATAAATACTCTTAATTTTTGCGTACATGTTTTGTAACTACGTAGTTTTTCTATATCTTGAGGAGATATAGGTTGGACCTGTCCGTTTTTTCTACAACTGTAAATATACTTCATTATATTTTTAATAAATATTTGGTTACATTTTTTATCTTACGTGGTTTTTTTTTTACGTTGAGTTACTTTAAGTCAACCAGCAGTTATAAAACGTACTTGGTTGACGGTTCCATGTCAACAGCTCACTTCTCATCACTTCCTGAATCACCATCATTAGCAAAGAAGAATTCAGATGAAGTCCACGAGGTTGCCCTGAATAGTGAATTACGTTTGAACAGCGTGAAAAGTTCCTTTCTATTAGTACATTCGTTGGGGCTTCCATTCTCTGCCGATGTAAGAGAGCGTAGTGATTCAAGAGATACAACCGAGTCACAATATTGAACTGGGTCTGCTACAGCGTAAGTAGTCTCTGCTGAATTACGAGAAGCGTCACTGCATCGTTTAAAATCACACAACGGTTCAATTTGTGCATCACCACTCATTTCAATAATATACCGAGCTACATTTGTCGATGCTGGAACAGCTTTTAGCTTGATTCCTTCATCGCTAAAAATTTGTTGATCTTCTGAATTTTTTTCCAAATAAGTATTGATCGCATCATTTTTATACTTCCCAAAATTGAACTTACGATCCATTTTGTATCAAAATATACAATTCACCAGTTTAAAAAAATTAAATGTAATGTGATAACACCAAAGATACTTTAGTGCAACGCAATTTAGTGTTTATCACTAATAATTTACAAACTGAAATCGCCTTAAGTAAAATGAAGTCATCAAAAATTTTGAAATAAATTCTACGGAAAAAAATTTTATCTGAAATATAATGATATATGATTACCAAAAAACTTCTTACATGAAATTTCAAAATTCTGTGTTTACTAGACCTTTCAATTTCTAAAATTTACATATATACAAATTATATATGTATTTATACGCTTGCTTAGTATATTTAGTTATAAAACAGTTTACAATGGCTGTCAAACTAATGTGTACAACTAAATAGTTTAAGAAATCTGACTGAACCATGGAATATTCTCTTCGGTGATTTTGTCCGCAAGTATGAAGGGGATTTATATATAAACGTTTTCATACATTATATATATATATATATATAAAGTCGGCTGTCTCAGCTACGATTACTTAAAGTATTCGATGTAAATGTATGAGAATATTCGATCTGCTCATTATTGGAATGCTGCATTATTGCGGCTACATAAGTATCCAGATATCCAGATATAAGTATTCAGGTATATGAAAAAATTATGATAGAATTCTGATAACCTTTAATGTCAATTTTTTCAGGCCTCTGCTTAAATCGTATCCACAAAAGAGAATAAGTTACTAAAATAGAGATAGAGAATGAGTAGGTGCGACCATCTGTAATAGAAAATAGTTGATAAACAAAGTCCTTCACGAAAGGAATTTACTTCGATTAATATATAACTTTTTATTTTATACAATTTTTTTTCTTAATTTAAGAATTTCTAAAAAAGAGAAATAACTTCTTATAAAAGAATATTTGCACCAATTGGTAAGAAATATGTTGTGAAATTTGCCAAACGTGGTTTTCACTTTGTTGATCCGAGCATCAACGCCTTGATGAGCTCCGCTCTTATTTGTCACAATGCTTCCCAGTTATATAAAAGATTTTGCACATTTAATTTCTTTTCCATCATTTACCTTCTGCTCAAAAAGTATTCGGATTTTGTAAATAAAACACACAAATTTAAATTTTATCTTCTTCAAAATATGCTCCTTCTGAAGCGATACACATATGCCAACGCTTAACCTAATCTTCCATAAACTTTTCGTAGGCCCATGCAGGTATGGCTTTTAGTTCCTTCAGCGAATTCTCTTTTACAGATACAATCGACTGAAAACGCTTACCACGAAGGGGCAATTTGAGTTTCGGGAACAGGAAAAAGTCGCACGGATCCAGATTTGGCGAATATGATGTCTGAGCGATGACAGTATTGTTGACAGCCGTGTTTGGGCAAAAAATCGCGTACAACAAGAATTTTTCAATGTAAAAACCGCTAAATAAACTTGAGATAGTCTCACATTAACAGCTGCTGTAAACAAACTAATTGACAGATGGCGCTCAAATTTGTACCATATGTCAAGAAAGAGTGTATCAATATAACAAAAAAAAAATTTTTTGAAAAAGGGTCTATTACTTAAGGAGTAGTAAACGAACAACAAAATCCGGATACTTTGAGCAGAAGGTATAGGCAAATTTATATTTTAAAATGCGCTATATACATTCGTCATGCTATTTGTTTTTTCAGTACCTATTCTTAAACCGGCAGACTCTGCTTATTCGCTTATAATGGGTATCATCGGCTGTAATTCATCAAGTATGTGACTTAACTGCAAGACATCATCGGCGAATTCTAGATCTTGCAGACATTTAAACAGTCTCCATTGGATACCCTAGGAATTTTTTAATGCTCTGCTGAGATTATCATCTAGCGCGGGAATGAAAATCAATAGTGATACTATAAACCCCTCTCGTACACTTGTTTTGATGTCAAAAGACTCAGAGAGCTGGTTTATGTGGATCGCGCGACACTTAGTATTCTTGTATAGCTACTTCAGAAAGTTTATAATTTTTTCTGGCTTCTTCCTTTTGGAGAGTGCTACCCAAATGTATGGTCGGTTTAAACTGTCTGCTTTTTTTTTAAATCTAGGAAGGCCAGATATGTTGGGTGGTAGCTCTAAATTCATTTGACTGCTCGAAGATAATGCGAATTGTGTCAGAATTTATCTATCTATTCTTACTTCTATTTATAATTAAAGGGTGTTTTAAAATAAAATTGATTTTAAAAATAATATATTCGAACCAAATAAAATATTGGGTTTGGAAATGTGTCAATAATTTTATCCATATTGATACATTTCTGGGGTTTCTGTTATTGAGCATTAAGCACTGTAATAATATAACTTTTTTTTTTTTTTTTGGATTCCATTTATTTATTTATTTTATTATATTTTTATTTTTGTTGTTTGTTTGAAACTGTTATTAATGTTCGCTTTGGGCCCTATAAATTTTGCTTCAAGTATCACAATTCATTGTAATAATTTAAGATTTTCAGCATTTATGCAAGCCTCCCATTACAATGAAATAACAGCTTATCTGATAGCAAATCGTGTTGGAGTACGCCTCCGAAAAAGTTCAACACCAAATCGACAAAATCAACCAAATCGGCCCCAAACAACGTAAACGACTCGAGCGACTGGAGCGGCTTGAGCGGTGATCAGTTCATTTCGGCACAAGAAGAAACTGCAATTTACGCAAGCGTGCAATAATTCCTCGTATCGAAGCAGCAAAGCAGCAAAGCCAAGGAAAAAATAAAAAACAAGATCTGAAAATAATAAATTATTTATAAAAGAGAGAGAATATTTATTGTAAATGTTATAAAATAGGTGTATCCCGACAAAATTTGCGATTGTTTGCTTGCTCGTGTTACAACTCATTTCATTAGCATGGCATGGATTGGATTGAATTGGATTGGATTCGCATGCAATATCTCAATTTGGTGGATATTTTTTCTTGTTTCTTTTCAGCGAGAAGTGCTTTTACTATCGTGCCCAGAGCTTGCAGTGCAATCGCAAATGCTTTAATTTAGCTGAAAACAAATTTGTGCCAACCGTCAATTAATAATTGTGAGCAGCAAAAAATATCAACAAAAAATGCTAATGTAAGTACCGAAGGCAATAATAAAAAACACGATTTAGGTTTTTTAGGTGGGTGCCATTGCCCGCTGAAATTGCTATTATACCTACCTATTTGAACATAATTGCTTGCTGTCGAACTATTATGAGCGAACTGAAATTGCAAATTGAAAGAGTTGTTTGCCGTGAATTGCCTTTGACTTTCGTTTATTGATAATCTGCACGTCAGGCATTGCATGACGTTAAGGATCGAGGTTTCTATTATTCAAATTAAGCGGTGCCAACTTATAACTGCCTTCTCAACCGCCCAGTGCTCATAAATTTTATTGTCCTTAGCAATAACGTTTATGCAGAACGATTCAATATATTCATTTCGGGCAGGTCAAGCGATGCTATTTCGAGACTCGAAAAAGATTAATTATATGAAAATATGTCTTCGAATTTTTACATAGGACTATTGGACTAACAAATTAATACCAAATGCTAACTTATTATACTGAATTGGTATTTTTTATACATAAAAGATTCATTCAGAGTTTATAATGATATGATGTGTACTTACTATTTACTTACTTATTTACTGGTGTCCTTTTCAGCATAGGGTCTTGTGCATTTACTATGTGGATTGATAAATACCCGGTCTAAGTAAGAAAAACGCATTTTTTTTTTTTTGGAAAATTATATTTTATACTTCAGTATAATATATAAAATTAATTGCTTTATTATTAATTTTATTTCTTAATTGTTATTTCTTAATTGTTAATTTTTAATTAATAATATTATTTTTTGATATCTTTTTTGCTCGCAATATTTAATTATCTGCTCTAAATTCTTAACCCTAAATTTTTATATTTATTTTTAATTTAATTTATTGTAATTTTTTATTCTAATTTTTTTTTGCTTTATTATTTAATAATATGTAAATTGTTATTTATTGCGTATATATTATTTATATCTTTTATTATATATAAGTTTTTAGTATTAACAGTTGTTGAGTTGAATACGCCTTAAATCTCTTCCTAAATTCCTGACAGTATTTGAGTTCGTTTCTTTTCATTTTCTTCCTTTAAACAATTTTCAAAGTAATTGATAAAAAAAATTGATATCAAAATACTTGCATTTACGCTTTTAATCGCTTTTGGGCGGCTTTCACTGATTGTCGTCCACTCAACTTAGTGCTGATTTAAATCTGGAGTGTGATTGGCGGGTGCATACAAAAATTCCTCTGCAAACAGATGTCAGAATCGCACCATTGCAAGTCGACTGAGAGTATATGCTATAGTCATTTCAAGTACACCATTCTTAACATTCAATATTATTGCAAGTGATGTATACGCAAAATTTTGACAGTCTTGAGGAATCAACTATTTCCTCGAAACTCACTTTATGGTTACTTACAAGGATCACTAGGACTTTATAGATATTTTATAGTGTGCCAAATCATTAAGTGTTTTGAATTTTTGATACTCTCTGGTACTGGCAAATTCATTACATAGTAAAGATAAAAATTGTTTCACCTCGAAAGCATTTGATTGCTTTTTGAGTAACGAAATATGTGTGTTTTATTTAGACAATTATGAAATATTTCTTATAAGGAACATAGTAAACACTCATAAACATTCGTTTGCTGACCGATTAACCCAAGATGCTAAATAGTACTAAAAATCGAATGTAACTACCAGTATAGCTTCCACTATATATCTAGTAGTAATATAACATTTTGAGAACTATTCGGTGCCCTTGGTTAATCGGATACGGCATACCTACTACTATAGTATATAGCTTTAGCAGCGTTATATATCTTCTATAAACAATTAATCAAAAGAATATATGTATCCGATTAATTGAAGATGCCAAATAGTACTTATTATCGAATATAACTACCAATATAGCTTCCACTTTACATCCAGTAGTAATATTCCATCTTAAGCACTATTCGGCGCCTTTGGTTAATCGAATACAGCATACCTACTGCATCAGTACATACTCTTAGCACTATTATATATCTTCTGTAAACTCAGGTTGATTCATTGGTATTAGAAATGAAGAAAATTTTATGACGGGGTTTTCCATAATAATACACATTATGTTGAAGAAAAGTGTATGCAAAAACTCGCAACCAAG